CACAGGCATTACCTTGAAAGGAAAACTGCTTTTATACATACCCGTCATTGCTAAAATGTCACTCTGTAGCAGGGCTGATTCAATGCCTCAAGCTGGTCGAATAATGGGTTCTGGTCGGCGTGGTTTGGCTAGTTGACTCCAGTTTACTGCAGGACATAAAAGTGACGTGGGGGGTTTAGCAAGAGAAACTACAGGAGACCCGCTATTCCACATAGATCGGTGCCATGGGCCCTGCATCCTGACTAAAACATTTTAGAGCATTTTTTTGTAGGTACAAGGATTGTAACATATGTGTTCATGTAATACAAGGAGTAGGCTAAGATTCTAACTATGTCCAGTATTCAAACCATATTTGTTTTCATTCTTCAGTGTACCCCCAGGCTTTATTTTGTCTAAAACAACAAAGCAAGGTGCAAAATTACAAGTCATGAGCAAAGAAGTGACACCCACTTTTAGGGCTAGTTCAAACCAGATGCAGTAGTGTTGCAGTCTGTTCCGTTTTGCAGTTGCATCAAAAACGCATCACAATGCTTGCCTATGGTATTTCTTGTGCTCTGTTCACACCAGAGCAGTCCGTTCCGATGCGGCCAAAAAAAAAATACTGTTTGCCCTATTTTAGCTGCATCGGATCATGACGCATGCAAATGCACTGGAACGCACCTGCAATCCAATTTTAAGCAAAAAAAGCCTCAATAGTGGTAAAATTGCGGCAGAACGCATTGCACTGCAGCTGTGCAGACGCTAATGCGGTTCTGATGCAGCTCTGTTGTGAACTAGCCCTTAACCATGCCCTCATACGTTTTGACATTTTTAAATGTTGGCAGCGATGCATTGCGGTGGGCAGAACGTCTGTTTCCTCCTTTTCTTCCCATAGATGTTCAACTTTTGATTAGAAGATGAATGCTGACCCATAAATTGCCACAAAAGTCATGGTCTTCTCTCTGTATTATAGTTTTAGAATATTCACTCTAATTGGTGCCTGTATATTAGCTTAATATTTTTCTTTTTGCATTTTTCTTTTAGTTCAACTGAGGATTCTCTACGACCTATAATTTTAACTTTTTTTTTGTTGCCTTTTTCATGCTGCTTGAGCAGACATCAAGAAGTATGAAAAGTAAAGACAGATAGATATTATCCCTAAATATAGCTGTGAAATGACCTCCTGGTAACATGTTGGATTTGAAAAGTGTAGGTTTATCAACGGCAGGAAGCTGATTGCTATAGTTTGTAACGCTGAAAGGATCTAATTTGGTTGAAGCTTAGCGGATGAATGGTGGCTATGAAAAGTATTGAAGTATGCATCATGTTTTTGGCAGGGATGTGATTTTAATACTCGACAATGAATGCACAAGGATTATAAAAGGTAGAGTTCCTGTCTGTTCTTTATGAAAGAAAGTTGGTAGTTGAAAGTTGGTCTGCGTTAAGTTACTACAACCAATCTCTTCTGGGATGTCAGCAAGAGGTCTATTTAAAAAGGAGGGTGAACCTTGCTATCTGCCGGACACCTCAGTATTTACTCCATCCTGTGGCTGCAATTTACAAGTAATTCATTTATTGCAGGCCAGGGTAGGAGGCCTGCATTGTCCCATAGAGTGTTCGCTTCATAACACTGCATAGGGCACTGTCTGATAGAAGAAGCCAGTCACATGACTGACTGGAATTATTATTATTATTCAGGATTTATATAGTACCAACAGTTTGCGCAGCGCTTTACAATATAAAGGAAGACATTACAATCACAATACAATCCAAGCCCTGCCCCTGAGAAACTACTGACCCTTTTTTTGCCTTTTTATTAAGAGAAATAAAGCCAATTTTTTTTGTTCTTCTTTTTTTTTTTTTTGGTTTTTACTTCTCCTTTTGGGTCACAGGAGTCCATTGACTCAGGATTGTCCTAACAAAGGGTTAAAGATCTAGACTCATTGCATGTTAATCAGAAGAAGCTCAGAGTTTCCTCTGTCTTTCTATGAGGACACCCTGAAGTTTCTTGTGACTTTAAAATTGTATAGAGAAGCTTGCAGTCTGTCCCAAAGACCTGCTGAACAGAGATATCTCAAAGGTAAGTTTTGTTTTATTATTTTTAGGTAGAAATGAAAACATGTCTAAAATGTTAAGCCCTGGTTCACATCTAGGTGTTTTTTGAGCAGTTCAAAAAGCACTTTTAACTGCCCAATACAATAAATCCCATGATTTTCAATGGCCCTGGTTCACACCTGAGCAGAAAAACGCCAGATGCCTGAAAAGATACAGGAGCTTCTTTTGGGCAGTTAAAAGCACTTTTCCTCCCCATAGACTTCATTGGAAATGGCCAAAAACATGTATTACGTACCTGAGACTGGAAGATGGGGAGGCGTCTCTTGCGATTCGTATCCTGCGACCCCCCTGGAGTTGGGAACAGAAAGGTGCAGGGCAACGAGGAGCACGAGTGCCGTAGGCTGGAAAAAAACACTGTGCAGAAACAACTGAGTAGAGAGGTCAGTAAGCCAAGGTCAAATCCGGTCGGGCATGCGAAGTACAAATTCGGAAGGCAATCTCAAATCCAGGGAACAGGCCGGGGTCAGGGGCAGGCAGCAAGCAAGAGAGTAGTCCAGGGCAATCCAAGTCAAGACAGGTCTAAGTAGCAAACACAGGAACATAGGAAACAAACACCAAGCTGACAAGACCATCAGCAATGAAAGAGAGGCTGGCTCCTCATATAGTCATAGGATTAAGACAGCTACCTCACTTCCTGCACATTTTGCCACGATTCGCGCGCATGCGCAGTTTGCTGCGATTCATGCGATTTTGTTCTTTGCGCAATCGTGCCTTTACAACATGCAACAAAACCATTTTGCACATTTTCGTGAGCGTTTTTGCGTGTTTACATGCACGTTCTTCCATTGCCCACAATGGCTTATGAGCTGCTATTAAAAACGAGTGTCTTCATGTATGTGTTTTTTTTTTTTTTTTTTTTTTT